CTTTTCAGTATTCAGCCAACTAACCAAGTACCTGAGATAATAGTTGGCACCACACAACTTCGCTGTAAGGAAATACAGTAATGACAGGCAAACTCATGAAAGAAAGCCATACTGTATGGCAGTGTTACTTAACTCCTTTGGTAACTGATGATATCACTACAATAAGGAAGCTGTTTGAAACTGAATCTCTATGTCAGTGGTTCTCAACCTTTTTAGACTTGTGGCAACCTTGGAAAATGTCATCTCTTATTTTTCACCCATTCCCTACTACAGAAAAACAAGAGAGCAGTGTTCCTGTTGGAAAGAAATCAGAAAGACTGCAACAGGTCAGAATATTTTAACACTACAGGTTCCTATTTGAAATCGTTGGGCTTATTGTGTCAATCATGTCTGCACACCTAACAGTACTAACATTGTGTGGCGCACAGATGCACCTTTAAGGAATCTCAGGGCACCCCAGGGTGCCCCTCTATGTTCTCAGTGGTTGACTACTGATCTAAAACCTGGAATTAAATACAATACATCTCATTGAAAAATGTTAAGCATCTGACAAATGCCCAAAAAGCAAAGCAATATTACATTTCTCCCACAGCCCTCCAATAAATTACGTATGTACCTTATTAATCCTAGAACCATCATGGTAAAGAGAATCACTTATTGTTCCAAATCTCTCAGAGCACCAATTATCTTTAAACCCTTCCAACTGAATCTGATGTTTTTCCATTAAAAGACAGACATGCCATTAGAACAATGCAGTTTAGAATAACATAAAAGGTACACAGGGCAGTATACAATATCTATTTACATTTAGTATCAGGGATATTCAGCCATTACACAATGGCAGTTTAGAGCATTTTAAGTTCTTCTTCAATTCTAATATTTTCTTAATAGAAGAAACAGTATTTTGTTGCCCCAGCCAATATTGAAATTTCCATATGGCAAACTTTGTTCATTGCCTATCCTGTCTGGAGTGAAGTTCATATAGTTTTATTTATCAATGTCTTATACTAAAAATATGTTGCTCAGAAAGCCAACCACACTGACAACAATCAAAGAACCATTGGTTTTAGTGTACTGTTATAAAGATACGAGATTGAAAAGAAGTCATTGTGCATGGTGCCACACAAAATTTAATCACTAGAGAATGTCAGTTTAGAGAAAAAACAAATAATAATATGTATTTACCAGTGAAACATTTATCATCTAATAAGAATCTTTAAAGTAGAAGCAAAGTTCACTTAACACCCAGATTTTTAGGGACATGAGCAGAGGGCAGAAGCTATTGTTCACTGCTTCTACATTGCTTCAGCTACCAAAATAAAAATGCCCCCAGCATCCTCCTCTTTCCCCACCCGACTATGCCAAGCAGAAACTAGCACTGTGGAAAATGTGACTCATTGTCTTTGTACTTTCCAAGCCTTTAACTTCAACACTGGCTCCAAGAATAAAACTGAGTACTGTGAACATCGCTGCTAGTATTACAGGAACTATATTGCCCTCCACTACAGAAAAGATGTGGACAAGTTGGAGAGTCCAGCAAAGAGCAACAAAAATGGTTTGGGGGCTGCAGCACATGACTTATGAGGAGAGGCTGAGGGAGCTGGGTTTCTTCAGTTTAGAGAAGAGAAGACTGGAGAGGGGATTTGATAGCAGCTTTTGACTACCTGAAAGGTCGTTCCAAAAGAAATGGAGCTAGACTCAGTGATGACCAGGGATCCAGGTTTTCTGTTTCCCACAGAAAAACGGAGAAATCCGCAGATTCTCCGCTTTTGCAAAGAGCTCTTGCAGGCTGGCACAGCTCCAGCCTGCAAGAGCCGATTGCAGAAAGGGCAGGAAACACCCAGCCCTAGCCAGAGGAAGAGAGAGAGGGGAGGAGGGCAGGGTCTGAGCCTCTGAGGTAGCCAAGGCTGGGCTCAGGCTCACGCTAGCTTTTTGCCCCTGGAGTGTGGAGGTAAGTGGGGCTGTCGGGCAGGGCTGGGGAAGATAGTTGGGGGCTGACGGAACAGGAGGTGCTGCTGACCCCAGGCCACACACAGCAGCTGGGAGCAGGACCGGGGGGGAAGGCAGGGGTGCCCCTCTGCAGGGGGCTTTGCGGGCAAGCAATGCGGGGTGCAGTGTGCCATGGGCGGGCTGAACACATGCTGCCTGGCTGCCTGCCCAGGAGGAGGGGAAGAGGGAGGCTGGCATGCAGCTGGAGCACAACTCTGTGGCCGGCTCTGCAGCCATGGCGAGGGATGGGGATGCAGGCTCACGCAGCTGCCGCTGTCGCTTACCTGGAGGGCCATGACGGTGGTGATGGCCGCTGCCAACAAAACCTCCCACTGCCACTGCAGAGCTGTGTGGCCAGTGGCGCGGGACAGTGGTGGGGATGGGAATGGCTGCATGCCGCCCGGCCACCACCACCCTGCGCCATGCCATTCCCACTGGCTGCACAGCTCTGGGCACAGCTCCACAGCAGCAGCGGGAGGTTTTGTAGGCAGTGGCAGTCACCGCTGGCACAGGCGGCCCCACGGGTAAGCAGCAGCGGCCAATGACTGCCGCTGCATACAAAACCTCCTGCTGCCACCACGGAGCTGTGCTCGGAGCTGTGCAGCCAGCAGCAGCGGCACAACGCAGCACGGGGTGGTGGTGGGAATAACTGCGTGCCACCTGGCCACCACCACAATGCCACTGCCACCTGGTGGCTGATTGCACAGCTCCAGGCATGGTTCCGCAGCAGCAGTGGGAAGTTTTGTGGGCAGCAGCCATCACCGCTGTCACAGCCCTCCAGGAAAGTGGAGGTGGCTGCCACGTACAAGCCCCTGTCCCCATGCCCCCATCCCTCGCTGCAGCTGCAGAGTCGGCCATGGAGCTGTGCTCCAGACGCATGACAGCCTCCCTCTCCTCCTCCCCTGGGCAGGTGGCCAGGCAACATGTGTGCAGCCTGCACAAGGCGGGCACCACCACACTGCGCTCTGCATCACTTGCCCACAAAGCCCCCCAACAGAGGGGCACCCTTGCCCTCACCTCCTGGCCCTGCTCCCAGCTGTGGTGTGCTGCCTGGAGCTGGCAGCACCCCCACTCCCTCAGCCCCCAACCATTTACCCCAACCCTGCCTCACAGCCCCCAAGCTCCACTTACCTCTAGGATCCAGGGGCAAAGGGCATGGCTCTGCGTGGCAGCGCTTGCCCGCAAAGCCCCTGCAGCCTGCATACAGCCACCGCCACCCCACACCACCGCGGAGCCGTGCAGCTGGTTGTGGGGCATGCCGTTGCATGTCAGCCCCCTATTCCACTCCCCGGCTGGGCGGCACGTATGTAGCCCGCACATGGTTGTTGCCACTGCACTGCTGCTACCACAACCGCACCCTGTGCCACTTGCCCACAAAGCTGTGCAGGTGGCTGTGGAATGGTAGCACAGGGTACAGTGGCAACCTCCATGTGTGAACCTCCTGTCAGGCTGGCCGGCATGTGTGTGCCCCACAGAGTGGCATCCCTGCCCTCACCCCCAGCCCTGCTCCTGGGAGTGGGCACAGGGGCACACTCCCCGACTTTTTGATCTACCCCCCAGCACCTTGCCTTTCCCCTGCCCTGCCCCGCCGCTTCCCCCCACACACACACACCTGCTGGGGTGGGTGTCAGCGTCTGTGTGTCTGTGGGGCTGTTGTAAGAGCATCCAGAGCGCTGTTGAGACTGTGGGGGGGGCGGAAGTGTGGGGCACCAGCAGTGCTGAGGGGGGGCTATGGGGGGCCTTTAGTTTTTATCACAGATTTTGGGTTTTTAAAATCAGAGAATTTGCAATTTTTAATCAGAGAAAACCAGGATCCCTGAACAAGGAGCAATGGTCTCAAGCTGCAGCAAGGTAGGTTTAGGTTGGATATTAGGAAAATTCTTCTCACTAGGAGGGTAGTAAAGCACTGGAACAGGTTACCGGGAGAGGTGGTGGAATCTCCATCCTTGGAGGTTTTTAAGGCCTAGCTTAATAAAGCCCTGACTGGAATGATTTAATCAGGAATGGTCCTGTTTTGAGCAGGGGGTTGAATTATATGACCTCCTGAGGTCCCTTTCAACCCTAATTTTCTATGATTCTTTCATGCTTATTCAGCTCTCAGTGACACCTGTGCAAGTTTACCATAGGCAATGGAATTGCATAAATGTATTGATTAGGATTTAATAAACCAATGTATTGATGATTGACGAAATGGATTTATCCGACTTATCTAAGGAGCAAAGAGCAATAAATTCTTTTCTTAGTCACTTTTACCAACGGATATAACTGAATGCACATAGGGAGATTCCTGAAGCAAGTAGGGCCTGTTTTTTTCTTTATGTATTTATTTTATATTTTGCTAGTACGCTTAAGAATTGTTGGCTTACTGAATAAAGAAAGTGTATCTTATTATATTTTTGCCACAATACCTTTATTACCTCTTTATTTAACCAAGCAAATTTTGAAATATCAGACTAGAAGGAGCACTAGTCAGTAATAAAAGTTTTCCAATTCTTTAATTTAAAATGCAAACTATTCACAATTGCAGGGGAAGGTCTGTTTTGAAGTCCAATGCTGCCATTTAAAAATGTCATTATTTCTCTGTTTATCATTAGTGTAGAAACATCTACTTTGATTCTGTGGACTAAGCCAGAGAATGTACTTAGAACATCATCATTCCCTTACCCCTGTATCTCAACCCAAATTATTTTTCATTTTTAAGTGGGATCCTCATGGTTCCATCTTAGATGATCAATTTCAATGCTCATCACACAAAGCTGATAGACAATCAAAGTACTGTCTATCAATTACTACAAAGAGCAATAGAGCACTTATATTTTAAATGAAAGACAGTGACAAAGGCATAAGTGGAATACAGTATTGAAGCACAATAAACAGACTATGAAAATCAAAGTGCAGAAATCTTCCCCGCTCTTACATCCCCACACTTCTCAACAGGCACAAAAATAAAAGACCAAACAGGACTTGCCAGTGATCACACAAACACAAAGAGCCGAAAGAACATTACTCACCACTTCCTGAGATGCATATTTAGGATCTTCAGGATCAACTGACCAATAGCAGTAATCAAAACTAAATGCCACAATCTTCTCCCTTGAATCCCATGGGCCATCAAGCCTATTGTCCACCTGGAGGGAGCAAGAAAAGGACATAAACACACTATTTTAAGATTTATGAAAGAGCAATAATTTTAAAAATAAACTAAATTTGTCCAGGATATGTTCTTCCCCTCTCCCAAAACAAGAATTCATGGCTTCAAGTTCATCCTGTTTATTCGTTTTTCTGCACAAGAGTCAAAAAGAAAAATTATGGATGAATCAATCACAAAGCTGCTGGGACCAAACTTTCACAAAACCATTCTTGTTCCAACTCATGAAATTTAAAAAAGTGCAGTTAAGAGTTTTCTATGCAAACTTTTCAAGCCCTTTGCAGACATTACTGAATTATTTTTCACAGCATATATGCTAAATGTGAAAGCCTTATCCTTTTGTAGATGGAAAAAGTGACAGACAGAGAGAGATGTTAAATAACTTGCTCCAAGTCACAACAAACATATGGTGGAGCCAGAACTACAGTCCCCACTTTCACACTCCCACCTTTAAACATAAGTCTGTCCTCTCCACTTTCTCTTTCTGTATTAACAGTTTGCTGTTCACTTCCTTCAATGGGATACAAAGTTAAAAATGGCAAGGGCAAATGCTGCATTTTATTTAGTCATTAATCACAACCTAATCCTCCTGACATAATGTTTTATGTTGAAGTTAATTCTCCTTACTACTACCTGCTTTACAAATGCCATGTCTTCTTTACAATGTTAATCTGAATGATCAGTACCTGTGTCTGAGAATCCAGGTAAGACAATCCTGTGTGTGAGTCACTGTGTGGCAAAACCAGATGCAGCCACTGAGCCATTCTGGTGCCCCCCCCCCCCCAAGGGAATTATGGAAGAACTTGTCTGTTCTTCTGGGTACAGATGAGGAATCTTGGGAAGGTACCAGAGGACTATCAGCATTCAATTGCTTTAGCCTGCATCCTCACTGCAAAGTGGGCAGATTACCAGCCCAAATAAATCTGTACAGCTTTAGTGAAAATAGGCATCAAGTTTCCCAGGGTCACTTTATAAATTTATACAATCTATAAAAGTAAAAATGTGCATGTATATTTTTAGGATATGAACAGTTTTAGCTTTAATTATTAATTCCAATAATTAATGGCATATATTATTTTTTTCCATCTAGGGAATGGTGTAATCCATTTTTCAATTTTTAATCTACTTTTAACATACTTTTTTCTTCCTAGAGCTGAAGCAGTCAATATACTGAAGTTAGGAGAAGCTGTTTAAAGCATTTAGCAATTTTTGACATGAGACCAGGGATCATGCTCTTTAAATATGGACTGCAGGACCATGATCAATATTCATAATCTTAAACTCTTTAGGGGAAGTCTTTAACTTTTCAATGACCCTGTGAAGTGACATGTTTGCTTGTATCTCTGTCCATATATTAATATTCATTATCAGAAAGGGAGAATCAAGTAGTTGAGGAAATCAAATACATCCTGCTACAGAAATAACTCCTTGATTCCTTGGAGAAGGCTAAATGTGTTTACATGAGACTCATAAGCAAAGTGCTTCCCCAAGGAAATGCCCCTTCCTATTCCTTTGATCAAGGAAGGGAACTGAGAGTCATCAGTGTAGACAGAAATAGCAGAGTACCTATGTAACACAAATATTAACAATAACATGGGTAACCTCAACATCTGCAGTAACTTCACAAAAGGAAAAAAGTTAAATTCACTGTTAATTATCACATTAACAAGCCACTGATTTTTCTACAGTTTTCAAGAATAGTTGTTAATAGTTACCTACCTTAAATTCTCTTGATGAAATGTAATACACATGCTACGTATTATAATAAATTGTGAAGACTACTACAGAAACAGTTTACAGAAGCCCATCTAAGGAGGCTGTTTGCTAACAGTAGTATCACTACTGTGAAAGTATTAATGTACATTTATCCTTAAAAGTAAAAAGGACCTTATGTGTGGAAAAGGTCATATGATTCCAAATTAGTCATGCAGAATTTAGTGACAACTGATGCTTCCTTTGGCTAGCATTAAAATTTTAAGTAGCCTATTATTAGATAATCCCAAAGGATTACCTCCAATAACAAGGTTTGTACTATGCTATCATTTGGAGCCATTTTTATGCTGTAACCAAGAGAGGCTCTCTCCACTGCACTTTCCAGCAGGGACAAACAGGGCAACTGAGAGCCTTCACCAACCATCAAAGCAAGACAAAATTAATTCTCCCCATCAGCAAATGCAGTTCTTGTAGGAACTCTTATGTCTCCAAATAGACCTATCTGATATTTCATCTAGCAGAACCGTCCACTGCTTTGTTTCTAAAGACCATGAAATAAACAGTGTTCCTTTTCAAAAGTTCACAGTCTTAACTAGATCCAGCTACACCCAGTTACTTCAGCCACATATCTGAAGCTTAAAGATGGAAGAAGGGATTCTCAGCTCAGTCTGATCACACAGACTAAAATAACTGCTGAGATTTAAGCCTCAAGTCCCTGTAACATTACCCTTGTGGCCAGTGCTTTCTCTAAGCAGACAATGGGGATAGAGGATATTACAGCTGAAGGCCAAAGAGACATCCAACAGCCCATCACATTCCTGAGAAGTGTAGGAAGGAAGCTCTCATTTTTCACAAACAGTTCAGAACATGTTGAATACCAGATTTGGAAAAAAGTCTTTTTAGGTTATTCCCATTTGGGTACTCAAAATTGCTGGTCACTTGGAAATTTTGGTTTAGTGGCTTAATCTGAACTACTGAAGTATTTAGCTTGCATGCCAAATACTTTCTAGTCCATAGCCAGCTTTCTTAAATATTTGATTTTTTTTTCATATCATCACATATTCTATGCCAGGGTTTGTTTACTTGGACCACTATGACTGTGGGCTCTGAGCTTTATGGCCTTTTCTACTTTTTCTCCTAACAAAAACAGGTTAGTATACTTCTCTAAATCATCCTAGGAGCAAAGCATGAGCTGTTAACTTCTACAGCCTATTAGAGCATTTGCAGATGCAAAATGTTTATCTAGTTTACCTGTGTTCTAGGTTTATTCCAGAGGGACCTCTTTGTTAAAGGTCTACACCTACATTACACCCTTCAGATCTGTTTTGAAGATGGGATTATAATAAAATATTTTAATATCTTTGAAGCATATAAATATCAGGAAAAACTCAGTGAAATGCAAAAAGTTTTGCTCAACTCAAAAACAATGGTCTGTGCAAAATAATCATTTTTGTAACCTTACTGAAACTTAACAATTACTTCAGTCTGTTCATGTACTTTACTTGCTTTATACAAAAACAAGTACATATACTCTATTAAAAAGTATCTCTTCATATGGGCATGACCCATAGAACAAGAAGTTCATAAAGACACCAGTAGGTCTACTGTTGGAGTAAACTGTAGACTACTCCCAGTAGCTCAACGTACCCAAGTCCTAAGCCTCTGTGTCTTAGTTTTAGTAGGCCAGGAAATCCTAACCTGAAGTTTTTAGAAGGGAGATGAGAAACTGGTGTAACAGCTGCTGCTGGATTTCCAGCAGGACTCAGGATCCCTGCAAAGGCAGAGCATGAAAGTTTGCAGAAAGTTGCAGGAAGTTGTTGCTTGCAAGAGCATATGCATGTTTGTGATTGGCTCCTGAGGCAGGAGAGGGGAGGGAACTCAGCCAGGCTTAGAGAAGGGAAGGAGCCCAGGTACCACAGTGCTTGAGGAAGGACTACTCTGCAGCCTGCTTGTGAAGTAAACCTGCCCTTAGTGATAGGGAGAAGATAACCCAGTATCCTTTTTCCCTGTGAGGTAGAGGGACCCGTCTGTGGTAAGAGATCACAGACAGCTAGAGCAGAGGACAGCTTCTTTTTCCCACGCAGGCTGTAGCAGAGAGCAGGACTATCTGAAGCAGCAGCACCAGCCATGATTATTGTGTTGGGGTGTGAAGGAGAGCTGATGTTTGTGTTAACCCTGTGTGCTCCTGCTGAAATTCACTGGAGTCTCAAGGTTTAAGCTGGGGAGTTGTACTGAGGGTGTCCTTTGATTAAATTTGTATGGAGTGATTTAGTTCATTAATACCTGCCTTTGACGATTAGATTATTGATGTCCTGTTCTGCTATTAACCTCATTCCTATGTTGACTGTTTTGTAAATAATAAACTGTGTAAATAGTTAGCTTGTATGTACTCCAGTGTGTGGGGAAACCACAAGAAAGCACTCCATGGAGAGGTGGCCTCAGCCTTAGAGGCTGGGAGGTTGACTGAGACTGTTTGACACCTGAGGAACCTGAATCCGGACGTGGCTGCAGGTAGCACCGTGGCTAGGTGGTTATTGTAACATTTATAACTTTTATAACTTGTCTATCTTTTGCTAATTTGAATTTTAGAGACAATGTTCTGAACATCTGAAAAAATAATACTTTAGCAGCAGACCCAAACTTGCAAACTGGAAACACATAGGAAGGATAAAGCTGAACTCCTAAATAAGTTCTTTGCATCTGTATTTCTGAGCACGGATAAAGTCATATCTCCCAAAGGGACCAAAGACAGGCACAAGAGGGACTCCAATCCACCAACAGTTAGCTCTGACTTAGTGAAGGAGCATTTGGAGGGGCTGGATGTGTTTAAGTCAGCAGGCCCAGATGATCTTCATCCAAGGGTGCTGAAGGAATTGGCCAGTGTCATAGCAGTTGTTAGCACTGGTGCAGTTGTTTGAGCACTCATGGCACTCAGGATGGGCCCCAAAGGACTGGAAAAGGGCCCGTGTGGTCTCTATTTTCAAGAAGAGGAGAAAGGATGATCCGGGTAACTATAGGCCGGTTAGTCTCACCTCTCTCCTTGGGCAAACCTTTGAAAAAATTATTAAGGATCACATTTGTGGGAGTCCAGTAGAAAAATAATGCTGAAAGGCAACCAGCATGGCTTCACAGCAGGTAGATCCTACCTGCCTAACCTTGTTTCTTTTTATGACCAGGTCACAAATTGCTTAGATACAGGAGTTGAGGAAGATGTCATATACTTGGATTTTAAAAAGGTCTTTGATACAGTGTCGCATCCCATTCTTA